CGGCGCGAGTCCCGCTACCGCGTGGGGCCGGCACAGCTAAACAGAACTAAAAGGTGAACTCGCAAGCGCCGGTACCGGCCGTGCCCACAGTTCGGGGCCCGCCGCTGCGGAGGGGACCGGGTTGTCGTGCGGCGCGTTGCTCATCAGCGAGTTCGCGATGAGGAGCCGCGTGCCGGGGGCTCCGAGCCCTGGTGCCCGCGGAGCAGCCGTCGCGGGACGGGGCGCCGCGAGCAGCAGAACGGCCCCGTCCGCTTCCTTCCTCGTGGTTAAAACTGGAACCCAGCAGCCATCTGCTGCTGGCGACGGCCAAAAGAGGATGTTGAGGCTCTTGCTCTGATTAACCCGAGCGCGCGGAGCAAACCCCGCTGCAGCGGGAAGGTCTCACGATGCGCAGCGGTTACCAGGAAAAACTCGATGCAGGGGATTGAGCCGGCAGCGGTCGGATACATGGAAAGTAAGGGAGTTTTCCCAGTTGGGTTGCTGAATTAGAAAGTCACCCAGTGTGTCCTAACCCTGGGTTATTAATTCCATGCAGGCGGCTGTAGCTGGGTAGGGATCAGAGGAAAAGGCAAGGTGTTCAGAGCACTTTTAAATCAGTAATAAAAGGGCTCAGAGTTTACAGCTTTCTGAAGCATTCAGGTAAAAAGGAAAAAAGAGGGGGGGAAACATGTGCAGTGCAGTCAGAAGTTTGTTCAAGTTGAGTTTGTAAGGAACTGGGGAGGATTTTCTTAACGTCGTGTATGGATGTTGCATAGTGCTGTTCAAACATAGCATCAGGAAGGTGCTGTCTGTGGGGTGCTCGTGTCACCCGTGCAGATTGTGGCCTCCTGCCTCCCGTTAACAGGTTTGCCTGGTAAAAAGGGCACTAAAACCAGGCGTTTTGCTGAGCGTTTGATGGGAGTCTGCCCAGCGTGTGAGTTTGTCCGTGTGATACGGGGCAAAGTGCTGTGTGAAGAGCCCGGGGGCTGAAGCAGTTTGGGGACTGCTGTAGTTGTTGAAAGCCAGGGCTGGAATCGTGAATTTTGGTGTGTGAAGCTGCATCTTTTGCTGTTGTTAACCTTCTCTAATGGCTTCAGCACAAGCTCCTGTTTGGAGAGCGCAAACATCGCTGTTTTTGAAGCAACGTTTCAGGTGATGATTAGAGTCTTTGCGCTACCCCACTTGCCTTTACATGCGTGGAGTAAAATAGGCTATTGCTGCAGTTACGGGATGGGGGGAAAAGCAGCTTCCCTGGGATTCCTCTCCAAAATACCGCTCCAGCCACTGCCTGCGCTTAGCTCAGGGCAGGGTTCTTCCCTTAGACAGTGCTGTAGTCAAAATAATCACTTAATCATTGGCTGCACCTGGCCCCTGTGCATAATAAAAGCAAATATATGATGGCCATGTGCTTGGTGGAAGGTTTCCTTCAGCAGAGGCTCCACGACTGCGTTGTGGGGAGCCCGTTTTGTCAGCTCGCTGCTCCCTGCCTGCTCGTCTGCCTAAAAGACAGCGAGCGCTTTCCTCTCCCATGCAGAAATAACAGATTTAATTTGCATCTCTACCAACTATCGCATGTTTTATGTCTCCTTGGGCAGAAATGTCAGCGGAAGAACTGCTAGTCCTTAATTCCCTTGTTTTCACACCGAGTTGTCACCCAGCTTGCAGGCACAGCAGATAAATGCTGCTCTCGTTTAAATGATCAAAGCAGCATATGTAGTTTGGGTGTTACGTGTTGATATTGAGACTGTGGTTTCCTGGTGTAAGTTAGGAAATGCTGTCGCCGTTTCCAGAGTAAAGTTTTCTTTATTAAATGGCCAATGAAGATAGAGTTTCAGGGGGTTATTCTTTTGATTATAGCCATTGCAATACCGCAGTAAATTCTTTCAGGATTATATTAAATAGCACCTCAACGGAAGTGTTGTTTTTATGGTAGTTTAGTGAAATGCTGTGGGGTAGCAACGTGGGGAGGTTCGAGGGGTACATCGGAGAGGGGAGGAATGTGAGTGGAGATGGAGTCGGGTTGTGCCGGTAGAGCTGGACGGAGAGGGAGCCGGTGCGAGCGGTCGGCGGTGATGGAGGGTGTCCAGCTTCTCTCTTCCCTCTTCCACCCCCCTGGTGACCATTCTTTCCTTAACCATAAATTCGACTTGTGCGGCTGACGGGGAATTGCTTCACCCAAGACGATGCCGTTGGTGGCACCAGGAAGGAGCGGATGGTCCTTGTGCCGCCCGGGCTGCAGTCACGGGGCCCTGCGTGCAGGAGGGGCTCGACCCGCTATCAAACCCGCTCCCCTGCTCGTGAATTATCTGAGCACAAGGCCTTTCTTTCGCCTCCTGAGAGGCAAAGCAGAATTCAAATGTGTGTGGGTGTTTATTTTCAGTTTTATGGCGTTTCCTTTTAAGAAAGCAGCTGTAATCCAAGGGTGGGGAGGGGAATGGGGAAGAAATGCAAGGGATACTCATTGCTCCTTACAAAGATTTATTTTTTTCTCTTTTTCCAGAGATAAATGACAGTGAGAGTCACCCAAGCAGCAGCCACCAAACCTTGAAAGGAACCTCGAAATGGGCGACGTCACTGGAGAACCTCCTGGAAGATCCAGAAGGAGTTAAACGATTTAGGGTTGCTACTTTCTCTATCAATATTTATATACGCCCAGCTAGGGTTTAGAGCTGTCAGCTTGCATGGGGCAGCTGTACAGGTGCTGCAAGCACCTCGGCCTGCATCCCACTGCCTACGTGCACGGAGTGAAGGCAGGAGAGCTCTGGAGCTCCGGCCTCTGCTGACCCTCCGAGCTGCCGTCTGCTGCCCGTGGTCACTAGGTCTGCGCCAAGACCTTCGGCTGCCTCTGCCTAATCAGATCTGTTGAGTTTTGAAAGGATTAACAAGGTGCTATTAGATTAACAGAGGTCCTCGAGCCGTTGATCTCTCCTGCCGAGCTCTGCGTGCTGCTGAAGGCTGAGCCTGTTCCCTGTTCCCGTCAGTGACGGTTACTCGAGCACCAAGTTGCTGCTCCCGGACCTGAGTAACCGTGTGGGCTGCACAGATCCCTTTAGCTTTCCTACACGCTGGGGGCTTGTGGAGCTCCCAAGGCAGGTGTGAGGCCGGCTTAGGTGACCGTGGCTTCTCAAGGCCTTCTGTGGTCAGAAGCCAGAGGCGTTGGCTGTGTCCATAGGATCTGCCTGCTAGGATATGGATATGGGTTTGTGGAACCAAGCCCCGAGACTGGGATGGGATGAAATGATGTCCTGACAGGCTGCTTCAAAGCCTGTAGATCAGAATGACAAAATTTCATGTGATTTAAAACTCTTTAAAAAATAAAATCTTGTTACCAAAACATTATTTAATCTCTAACACTTGAAAGTGAAAATTGAGCATCTCAGAGCTCCACATATTTCAGCCATTGCTTTTTATAAATAACTTTTATGTACTTTTCCCCCACTTTAAAATGTGCTTTGCTGTACAAGGAATGTGCTTTGTTTAAACACAACTTAGAGAATGCAAATATGTCTTGTGCTTTAGTTTACTTAAGTAAATTTATTGTCACTGATGGTCATGTTTAGGAACACTTTTATTTGCAGAGCTTTTGCTCACTAAACATGAGGATACTAGACTAGAATCCCAAATGATTTGCGGCCGTCATTAAAGGAGTTTGTTGTCTGCTGATGAAATCGCCCTGTATTTTGGGGTTTTCCTCTGAATAATGGATTGGAAAATTGCTCGAATTATTTAATGGAGGCTGAAGAAACTTTTAGTTACTGATAAACTTTGTGTTTAAATGTAGCTCGTAGTTCTGCTGCTCTGGCAGTGCCAAATTTATAATTGCTGATTTGTGCGCAGGTAGCACTGAGATGCCACCAAAGCAGGGGCTCTGTTACCCCACATTGTGTAAATTCATGCTGTGGAAAAGCACCTGATTTTAGTAACTATAGTAGGACAAGAGAAAAAGTTGAGAAATTGGATCCTAACTTTTCTTTATTATTATTATTTTTTTCCTCCTACCCTTCCCTAGGAATTTTTAAAGAAAGAATTTAGTGAAGAAAACGTGTTGTTCTGGCTAGCGTGTGAAGAATTTAAGAAAACACAGGGGAAAAAACAGGTATGCTTTCTAAATAACTTCTACTTGTCAACAAAGTTTCTGCAGCACAGTCGGAGCTAGAAGTTTTCTGTTACAAAACCGCTGTATTTCATGTGAGTGGAAATAAGTGTATCTGAAGGAATTTCACTGAAATCATCATGGCAGAATTGTGTGGAAAAAAAGCTGGGTTTATTTCAAATCAAAACAAAACGCTGAAATTGTCAAGTTTCCCATGTTTTCAAAACCCTAAACTTTCTATTGTTGCTTTGGAATAGCAGAAAGGTTATTTCAGTAGTGCTACCTCATCTCATTTTAAAATATAAAGATATTTAATACAATAACCTCTAAAGCCTAATGGATATTACATGAAAATATGCAACACTAAAATTAATATTTTAAGGCAACATAAAAATAAAAAGCAATGCAAACAAAATGTTTTGCTGTATAAAAATGAAATGTTTTGCCTTATCCCCCCCAAATTGAGTGTTTATTTAGATTTTTGTTTAAATTTTTGTTCAAATAGTTATATACCTACAGAACACTTACATTTTCATGAAAACTGTATTTTTCCAGTGCAAAATATTTCATTGAAAGTTTTTCAGCCGAGCACCTCCAAAAACATTTTTCCACTGCTTGGGCCTATGTCCACATTTAGCTCTAGCATGAACACAGAATCTACTTCTGGGCTTCAAAATGTGCTCAATCCAGCCCAATATGCATACCATGTTTCTGAAAATGCCCTTTTTTTTTTTTTTTAGGACAAATTTCAAATGTATCTGGTGCTCTAGAGTGGGCTTCCTTGAGGATAAAACAAAGTAGTTGCAAAACTCCTACTAAATATAAACTCATTTTTTTTTGTAAATCCTGCCATTTTACTTTTCATACGTCTCACGGCAAGAGGCACAAATGTACAGCCCCTTCTGCCCTCCTCCAGCCAAAGGAAACAGTAGTTTATTCACACAGACCTGCCTCAGGTGGGACACTATTTCTCACCCAAACTGTGTGGACAGGATGTTAGGTTCTGGAATGGGATGAGCAGCCAAAGGAAACAGTAGTTTATTCACGCAGACCTGCCTCAGGTGGGACACTTTCTCACCCAGACTGTGTGGACAGGATGTTACATTCTGGAATGGGATGAATAAGAAGAGGAAATGGGAGGCTGCTGGGCGTAAGGGTTTTGGTTCTTCCTGTTGCCCGCAGCAGCAGTTGGTGTCTCCCTGCAGAGATCAGGAACCCGTTTGTGTTTCTGAAAACTTACTGGTAGGAACCCGAGGAGCCCGTGCAGCGAATGAGCCTCGCTGGCGTCGGGCACACTGCACAGGAACACAGCCCTGCGAGGCCCTTGGGCCACACGTGGCAGCTGGTGTGTCTGTGTCCTTTGCGCGGGAGAGAGTGCCAGAAAACTGGTAGTTCCATGTGAAGATGGTCCTAAAACATTGTTCCCAGGCAAATAATGTGTAAATAATCACACGTTCCTCAGCATCCTCTGCTGTTCCCTGCGAGGGCCCCCTGGGCGGTGCTCGCAAGGCCAAGGGGCCGGGTTGTGCTCTTGTCCTGATGAGCGGGTGCCAAGCGCACGCGTGCCCGGGGAGCAGGGGACATCTTCAGCATCTGCAGGGCCGGGCAGCAACAAGTCTGCACGTGCGCTGGATTCTGCCCCTCTCGCAGCACAGAAGCGCAAAGTCCTCACCTCAACCTGAGAAACATCTCTTTAGTATAAAACAGAATTACACTTTCTGTATAAAACAGAATTACACTTTCTGTATAATTCCTTTTAAACTGACATTAAAATAGAAATAGGATTTTTAGTGACGATTAGGGACTGTCAAGTCCAGTTGTAACAGTGAACTCTGCTGCCATCCGTATGGTCCTCACCTTAGGACACCTGCTTATTTATTGAGATGAGGGTGGTAGGGACCAGAATATAACATTTAACTTTGATTATTTTAGTGGAATTAGTTGTATGCGGTTGTGTTTGTAATTGTCAATGAGCTAAACAGCATGTCCACTCTGCTCACTGTCCTAATGCTCGTTTGCATTCCTTGCAAATGAGCCTTCAAAGTAAATTACAGATAGGACTAAGAACTCCAAACAAGTGCACATATTTTCAGCTATTGCTGACATGCACCAAAACTCTTCTGTATAGAAGCTGTGCAGAGAGCAATTTCAGAACTACAGCAACAAAAATCTGTTTGGGATGATCTGGCTGATCCTTCTGTGGAGTGTGGAATAGCTGAGCAGAGCCACAGTGCTGCACAGCTGCGTGTTCACACGAGCATCTGGGACTCCCGTTCACCTCATGTGGGAGCCACACGTGTTTGGGAGCCGAATCTGACCTTCGGAAAGGAAGTGGGAGAGAATATTGTATCCCCTTGAAATACTGAGGGGGATTTCTGCGGACAGAACTCTGTCTTCCAGACTGGAATTTGGCAGGGATGCCGGGGTGAGCACGCAGCTGTAAGTGGAAAGTGCCAGAAGTCCTTCAATAGCCACCTGTGGACGAGCTCTCAGTTTAAGTGTTATTTAAAATCCAGAGTGAACCCCCTGTGCTGGGGCATCAGTTTGATGCTGAATGAAGAAAGGCACCTCCTGAACTAGCAACATCCCCTCTTCTCTGCACTGCGCTGGCTTTGCCCAGGTGCCAGCTGTGGCGGGGACAAAGAAAGACTGAGCTTTAGCTGGGCTCTTTTATTTTTATTTTTTTAATTAATTTTGGTTAAACTGATGTGCAGAGGCACAGTATGCTTGCTTTTCTTTTCTTTCTTTTCTTTTTTTTTCTTCTTCCCCTGTGCAGCAGAGCTTTTAAGTCCTGCTGGTGCTTTTCCATGTTCTGCCTTACTGCTTGCTGTGTCAGACCTGCAGGTCTCAGTGACCCCTCTCCCTGCCACAGCACTTTCACTTCCCTCCTTTCTCACTCTGCCCTTCCAGATCCCGACGTCCTCCCCGTCTCAGCAGCCTCCCACGCAGCCCTCCGCGTTCTCCCAACTTCCTCCCCAGACTTCTGGTTTCTCTCATGTTTCCCCTGCACCTTCCTGTGCTCTTTCCCCTGCTCACAGCTTGCTCCTGTCTCCCTTGTGCACCAGACACGGTGGCTCGTGGCAGGTTTGGAGCTACGTACATGCTCATTAGCCACCACCAAGGATCTGCTGGCAGCTCGAGCAGAGGAAGTAACTTCTGAACGTGCCCTGCAGCTTTTCCTTCGGTGGTCATGCTGCTTTTTCTATTTCCTTTTCCATGGAAATGGCAGGAACATAAGTATTTTACAGACCTTTACCCCTCTCTGAGATAGGGCTGAGATTGGACAGCAGCTTCAGTGGTTATTTAGGTGGTACCAGCAGCCAGCGCAGGCACTTGGGCTTCCTCATGCAGTAGCAAAAGGAACCACCAGGCTCCACACGGGCCTGCGCCAGGGCTGTCACTTGGCCAGTTAAAGCAGTCACCCCCGGGGTGGTGAATTGGTGCTGTTGTCACTCAGAGCACACGTGGCTGAGCCAGTCCTCCCTCGTCAGGGAAACCACAAGGATTGCAGGTCTGCATGAAACCCTCTGTTGCGACTAACGGCCTGATCTTGCCTAGTCTCATCCACTAGACAAATGTCTCCTTCAAAAAGGAATATGCTGGAAGATGTGTCCCCCTCAGCACCGCCAGAGTTAACTCTTTAGACCTTGTGAGCTGTTGAACATATGTAGCTTTTCTTTTAATTATCCCCAAATGTTGATTGTGAGCTCCAGAGCAAGCTTAGCTCTCGATTTCTAGTAAGATATAAAAGAACCTGGGCGAATTGCTCTTTCATTCAGTGCTTCCTTCCTCAGGCCCGCTTCCTACCAAAGATACAGTCCCTTGGTGGCTGCTGCTCTGGAGATCCAGGTGCTCAATCAAAATAAAACGAGGAATGTTGGTGAGCACCCAGCACCGCTGCCCTGTGGCCGTGCTTTGGGCGTGCAGGGTGCTGGGACGAGGCTTTGCCTCGTGCTCCCTCACCAGCCCTTTCCTCAAGGGGACCTGGCATTTAGGCTGAGGGCTGTGGCCGTTTGCTCTGCAGCTGGACAGTGCTGGCTCGGGTCAAAACATGATCCTTGTCACAGGTTTATCGGGAAGAGCACCGAAACGGGATAGCTGGAATCCGAGCAAACACTGACTCTTTTAGGCAAGTTACAGCCATCCTAATTTAGCAGCTTTCAGAGGCTTTTGAGGGTCTTACCCTTATCAGTAGCAGAAGCACAGTCGTTGTTTGTTTTCATCTTGTAGTTCCTGGTGCCCAAGGGGTGCCCTGAGGCCAGGACACGGTGGTGACAAGGCCTGTTAGCGCTGCTGCGCGGACCCAGCCCGGCGCGCGCGGTGCCCTGCCCGTGCGGCCGACAACCGGCTTCCGCAGTGCTGCATCCCCCTGCACATGCTGGTTGCACATTAATACAAACGGTCCCCCCAGCAGTGACGACAAGGCCTTGTTAGCTCACAGTGCTGGGCACTTCTACACTGGGTGCTCAGATTTGGCCGTCACAATCTGCTCTTCAGCTGAGGTGCTGAATGCCCCGAGCTCCTGCTCATGTCCGGGTAGACAGTGACCTGCAGTGACATGTTTTTCCTCCAGTATAAATGAAAATATGTGAAGAAGCTGATCTATGTATATTTATTTTGCTTTATTTTATTTTGGACTGCATTTTGGTTTGAAGATGTGGACCTCAAGAAGGAAGTGAGCTAGAGCTATCTCAAAAGAAACCTTAACAAACACAGAGGATGTTTCCGAAGTAACTAATGATTTAAATAACTGTCTTTTTGCAGATGCAGGAAAAAGCTAAAGAAATTTACACAACCTTCCTGTCCAGTAAAGCTTCCTCTCAAGTCAACGTGGAGGGGCAGTCCCGTTTGAATGAGACAATTTTGGAGACACCTCACCCTCTGATGTTCCAGAAGCTCCAGGACCAGGTAAAGACCTTTTCTTCCAGCAGGTGGTTTCCATAGCTTTCATCTACTTCTTAATGTTTATTTTTTCTGGGTATAATCCGGGTGGGGTTTCTAAGCACAAGGCAGTGCAGGAAAGATGGGAACCTCCCTCCCGCTCCCTGTGCTAGGAATCAGATGTGCAGTGCAGCCTCTTGGAGCAGAGAAGGAAACGAGGGGTCTGGAGGGCCTGGCTCCCAGCTCCGTAGGGACGGGCAGTGAAGGGATCCACGCAGGCTAAATCCACTTCAGGCCCTCCGGGGAGATGCGGATGCCGTTTGCTCCTGGGTTCTTTTCTCTTAGGCTGGGAGTCACCAGCTGCCCGGCTCCGTGCCCGTGTTTCCCTGTGCCGGGGCCTGCACCGCGTCGTGGCTGGAGTTTGTTCCAGTAGTTGCTGCCGGTTTCCTCGGGATTCTGTGAGGATTCTTCTCCTCGAGTTGTTTTCGTTTTTATATTGGTGGGAATAAAATGCAGCTTCCTGAAACAGCCCCTCTTCTGTAACACACGCAGCCTAGAAAAAACAGTTGCTATCTGCTTTGCCTTTATATCCAGACCTCAGGGTGGTAGAAATTGCATAACTTTTTGCAGATATGTCTTTTGGTGGCAAATTTTCTCACTTTTTGCCTTATTTCAAAGTGCAAGTTATGATGTATCTACAGTTTGCCAACACTTGCAGTCTGTTCTATTTTTCCGTGCCATCCTGGGGACTAGCTGTATTTTCTGTCTGGCTCTTTTCTTTGGCAGAAGGCAGTACCCTGGTTTAAGCAGCCTTTTCAACCTGCCTCACACCAGGTGCTGAGTTCATTAGTCTGACGCTGACTGGGCTCATTGAAGTGGCCTGTGGAGCAAAGGATCCACTGCTGTTCAAACAGATTCCAAATCATTAACAGCAGAAATCTCTAAAATCCAGTTTCTATGTAAGGAAGCAAAACTTTTCATGGAAGAATGTTCACCTTGGGAGAAAGGGAAGGAAGACGCTGTTGTAAACCTCAGTATTGCAAATCTGTGATTATGGCAGTGAAGCTGGAGCAACTGTTGGAGTTAAAATGTTTTTTAGTTTTACAGAGGAGGGTGCACTTAAACCCCAGGGATTAGTAACACGTGAACTGGGGACATGCTGGACCAGCAGGAGAAATGGGGAACTAGCGTGGGGAAGAACGACGTACTGAAGAAAGTCTGAGCTTTAAAACCAAATGCAGAACTTGGAGGGGTTGTTGCAGGTCTCCACTGTCTGGGACTTTGTTTATTGCTCTTAGAAGATAGCTCAGGAAGAGTTATGTCCTTCTCTGGTTTTCAGTCCTTATAAAGTGATGAAGAGTGGTCTAGTTTCATCTCCGAAGAGCAGCCTTAACTGCTGCTGGCACTGGGTGTTTGAAACACAAAGTGCCGTCGAGTTTCTAGCCTCGGTGGTGCCGGATGCTCCGGTTCTCAGCAGCCCCGTGGGTGTGAAGGGGGCTGCTGGTGGGCTCTGATGCTGTGTGTGTCGAGCAGGAACCTTGGAGGCGGCTGTTGGTGCTGAATGCAGCCCTTGGGAAAGTGGCCCACAGGAATCTCACAGGTTTCCAGGTCCCCACTGGAATGTTCCCCCTCCACAGGTGTTGAGGAAGGGAGGCTTTTGGGTGAACCTAGGAACAAGAAGCACCTACGTTTTTAACACTGATTTATTAAGCTCTAATAGCTTAACAGCCTTCGTTACAGTTTCTTTTCCTTGAGTTAGGCCGATATGTTTAATTACAGTGTAATTAGCCGGCCCTATCCAGGAGGCAGCTTTGACCATGCTTATTTGGCTGGAGTTGTATCTCCAGTAGGATCCTGCATCAAGAGGATACTTTTTTTCTTGACATTATTATCATTATTATTGATTCATTTGTTATCTAACTTGTTATTGGTGGGATGGGTTTCCACTAATACATCAAAACGAGATTTCATTTCTTTTAAACATAATCCAAAATGTTTAAATATGTAAACAAGCAGTGGTTAATAAAATACTCCACAACATTTATTTTGTAGGCATTTATTTTGTAGGTCATTCATTTTGTGGGCACAGACAAGAACAGTTAAGTTTTGCCTGTTTGCCATTTTGCCTGTGTTCAGGTTCCTTGAGAACATGAGAAGAAAAAGCAGTTTGGGAGTTTTCCTTGCAAAGAGCAAGCTCCACTGATGTTATCTGTTAGAAATGAGCCCCATAAAGCTAAAGCTGCCATTATCACACATGGAATGTGTCACTGTTCCCATTGCAGCAACTCAAAATCCCAGAACTCCTCTTTAGAAACTTAGTTACTCTGGGCACCATAAGCTGTAATCAGTCCCGAAGGATGACTCAGAGCGGCTCCTCCACTGAAACCATAGTCAGAGGGTGATGGCTCAGTTTTGCCTCAAATACAATTTTAATGTTTTCTTTTTTCCTTCCCTGCTGTTTCCACCCCAAGTAAAACATAGCCGTGACCTTGACACCTGCATGGATCTCAGACTCCTTTCTCCAGCCCTTTTCTTTGCAGAAAACTCCAAATCAGTTCTACATGTCTGTAATGGTGTGGAATGGATCAGAATGGCAGCAGTTGTGTGGAGGACCGAGCCTCCCCTGAGCCCTGCGCTCGGCGTGCGCTCCCCGTGGCTGTGGGAAGGAGGGCACCTCTCGGGCCCACGAGGAGCCTCCTGGGGAAGGGTTTATCCCTCCCCAGTTTCTAACCCCATTCTAGCTGGCAGGGCCCATCTGTGCCAGATCAGCTCTTCATGGCAGGTTGCCCGCAGCATTTCCAACGGGGTCTGAAATCAGTTCTGTCATTTAGTTTTATGCTAATCTAAAAGAGATGTAAGGATTGGCATAAGTTTAAAAAGCATTGGCTAATCCAGTTATTTCTTGCAGTTTCAGTATTTCTTTAAATTATTTAGATACTTTTCTCAATCTTCCAGTTTTCAGCATGTATAGTGACCTGTTCTGCAAGGTTCCAGCAGGACTGCAGCTAGGGGTGCAGGGTAGAGGAGCACGAACGGTGCCCTGTTTCTTCAGTTCTGCTTCGTGTCTCTGCTAGCAGACACGACGTTGGTGCTGACAGGCCGACTCCTCACCCTGCACCTAAGCAATCCTGGCTGGCACGTGAGCTCCCAGCTCCTGTGTCAGCTTTCCAGCTCGGACAGACGTTACTGTGGAACACAGCCTGGACCCAGGATGTAGTGTGTTACCTACGGCCACATGGAGAGTTTGAGATGTGATTTCATGTCATGCTTTTTAGCCATTATTTCAGTACTAGTAGACCAAAAGTACAGTGGAATTCATATACTGTCCTTGTCATTAAAAATCTGTTTTAACCCAGGTTGTTTTTGTGTTGTTTTTCTTCTTCAGATATTCAATCTCATGAAATACGACAGCTACAGCCGCTTCTTAAAGTCAGACGTATTCCTAAACCATAAGAAGTCTGAGGAGCAGGAGGAGAATTCACCGGAGGCTCAGACTGCAGCTAAAAGAGCATCCAGAATATACAACACATGATACAAAGAGCCTCTTTAGGAGAGGTGATAGGATAACTGCATTTCACTCAGGAACAGTGTTTAGGTTTATAGCAGTTGCATGTAAGTCTTTAAAAGCTCAGAACCTTTTTAGGAGGTACTTCCTTTCCTAATTGCTTGAATGACTAATTGTTTTTGCATGATAGCTAATAACCAGACACCAGGGGAAGACTGTTCCCTAGTTAAAGGCTGAGGTATTCCTCTGTAGCATGAATTGCATTTCGTATTTCACAAGTTAAAATGCTTTCAATATCTATATGTTTGTGAGGCATCATGTGGAGAAAAAATGGGAGGTTTTTTTTTTTACTATTTTACTACTATTATTATTTTTACATTCTCGTTTTTTATTTGGGACCTGCTTTTATGTTTTGTGTTGTTGGGAGAAGCTAGTGGAGTGCTGTTCAAGTTACTTTGTGGATGAGTCATTTGTAGCCAACTTTGTTATAAGGGACAGTGCCTTTCAGGGTTAAGCTTAATAAAACCCAGTATTACTCCTCCCTTCCAACATAACCTGTTCTTTCAAAGTGATTTCTGTTTAGCTTTGCCTTTACTGATGAATCAAAACACTTATTTCTCCAGTCAGTATTTTCATTTCTGTAGTTTTTCAGTTTCCCTTTTTTTTTTGCATCAATCAATTTTTTTGAGCATGGAATAACCAGTTTTCTCATGGAAACAGAAGCTGTAAGTAGAGGGAATCTCTGCAGAATTTTTATCAGATGTGGAGATGTGGTGATGCCCTCCGTTCCTGGGGACCCTGATTTCTGCGCAGCTGGACGGGGGCACGTCCTGCCCTACAGCAACGTCACTTGGAGCATCAGGAACAGGGGCCAGGACTGGGCAGCATCTGCTCGTTCCCAGGGCAGCCCTGCCCTGTGCGGCCACAATCTGCTCCCAAGGACCAATCAACCAAGTCTTGTTTTGTTCTACTGAGATTGTTCTGCTAAAATCATCCTGCCTCATTTTGTTTGTCCCTCTAATTTTATATGTCTTAATCCCAGGGATTAATTTCAGAGCTTCCTAATTGTAAATTTTGATAGCTGCAATGGAGCAGGCAACTGAGCTTGTGATTTAGCCATTCCCACACCAGGCTTTATGGGAAGGGGGATTCCTTTCTGCCCAGAGGAATTAGTGATGAGATATCAGAGTAAGAAAGGGAAACTCTCCCAGTGAGCCTTCCATACCACCCTGGGGCTGCTTCAGAGCTGAAAAGCACTTTTTTCGGGCATCCATTTCATATATTTTTGAATTAATTCACCACAAGACTACTAAAGTGCAGTTTGAATTGGAGAAGTGGATTAGCACCCTGTTTTACTTACATGCTTTGCAATAGTAGTGTAGTCTGCTTCACATTCTCTTACCCTGTCATTTTTTGCACTGTCTTCCCTGAACTTCTCTTTCTGTTCTGCCTGACCAGATTGCAGGTTGGCTTTTGATAGGTTTTTTAGTTCTCTTTTTCAAGGCTAGATATGCTTTTAACATTATTGCCGCTGTCAGTGTTTTGAAACTAGGGCTAGCTCGTAATTTTTGAGCATGCAGACCCACAGTAGACTTGATGATGACTTTTCTTTGTAACTCTGAGCTGCTCTTGCAGGTGATGTATAAAGCCAGTTGTTACTAGAGGCTCTTCCCTAGGGACACACAAGAGTGGGAAAGGAAGCTCTGATTCTTCCCCCAGAGCTGTAAGACCTAATGATTTTAAAGAAGTTAAAGAGGTCAGTCCATCAATATGTGCATGTTAAGATGTCATTTGTGTGCACTGAATGCATCTTCCTTCCTGCTCCAAGAGCATTAAGTTGTGAAGCCATCATCTTGCTTCCACTTCATTGAAGTACTACTTGCATGGGTACTACCTGACCTCGTGCCTACAGTTAAGTTGTATTTCAATGTTTGCTGAATAAGAACAAAGTGAGCACAGACTTGAGTTCTTTTGCTGCAGTGGGGCTAGGAAATAAGATCAAAATTTTCTCTTCATCCATTTCTGTTATCCCCAGATTTTCTCTTTTAAAAATTCACTGTAATAACCAACTCTCAACTGCAGCCACAACGGAATATGGGATTTATGGCACCGCTGCCGTCCTTGGGAGTGGGCTGCTTAACCACATCTAGGAGTTGGGGTTTGTTTATTGCCAGCGATTGCAGCAGAAGTGGTGGTGCTGCTGTAGATGCACAGTGGTTTCATTTTTAATTTGTCTAGATTTTAAAGATAGACAAGCAAGGGGGAAGAGTATTTGACTATCATGTTTTAAAATAATAATTAAATTAAACGAGAAGCCGCATGGATGTTGGCATGGCGCTAGAGAGAAAACCCGTGTTTGTAGCTGCTTACAAACAGTGTTTTCCTTGGTCCTACGCACCCTGTCAGGTACTGGGTTGTCTGCTCAGCCCAGCACGTGTCTCGGAGGAGCAGGCACGAAGGGGTTTTACTCTACTACCAACCAGAAGCTGCTCAGATTGCTTTTCTTAGCAGCATTTCAATGCCTAGGGTGTCTTAGAGCTAATACACCTAACCCCACAAAAGTGTATTTCTCTCACTGAAAAGTGAGAGTTTTGTGTCTGACCACCCTTCAGTCCTACCCTAATGTGTGTTCCTCAGCTAAAAATTAAAGTATTTTATAAATAAACCAAACCTTGCCGGACACTTGTTTGATGTTTTGAACACAGGCTGGGCCAGGATCCCTTCGTGTTTTGCAGTTGTTCCATCCTCTGCGTTCAGTCCCTGGTAACGTCCTTGCTGACCTTCTCCATGGTCGGTACTTGAGGCTTGCAGGTGGGAAGACAGTCTGGGCTTCACTTCGAATCAGCTCCTGTCCCAGACAAGTTCCAGGGAGTCACCTGAGCGGCACAAAAGAGTTATTTTACCTTCTTCATCTCCCCTGTCCTTGTTCCCATTGTGTTTCTTCCATTGTGCTTGTTTTAATCTACTGATGCATTAATGCAGAGGAGAGTTTGAAAAAACATAAGGAGAGAAAGAGCTTTTCGTACTGAAGTCTTCCTGTTTGCATAGCAATTCCGAGCCTGCTTATTTTTACTGAAGATTCAGATTTTAGTGAACTTGAAGTGAATATTATTTGCATCTGCACTAAAAAATACTAAGGTATAGGATGGAGAGAGGGGGATGTGGTTCATAGCTGAATAAGGACAGATTCCCCCTCCCCCTTATAAATTGTTTATAATATTTTTAATCCCAAAACAAACCAAGTTTCACAAAGTCCCCTCGTTTTGGCAGCCGTCTGCCCCCCAGGAGAAGTGTTTACTTGACAGTCCTCACTGCTTGTCCCCCAACACAGTTAATGTCCAGAGGCCCCAAGTGCTTTTTTTGGCACAACTACAGTTAAAAGCAAACTGGAACTTCCTTTATCCAAAGGATCTATGTAACTTTACTGCGTCGCAACCACTCCATGAATTCTGATCGCTGCAATTTAGGAGCTTTATTATAATTAACTGAGAAAAGGTTTTCATCATTACCCGTTTTTTGGCTGATCTCAGAGACAAATCCACTTAATTAGGAGTTAAAAAGCCCAATAGTAGGTGTTTGGAATGGTGGGATAAAAAGAACAGGGAAAGGCATCTTGCAAGAGTTTGGTTGCTCCCTGGAGAAATAAAGTAATTGCCAAGTTTCACAGCACCCTCTACTGTTCTTGGAAGAAAAAACATCTAGTGAGACCAATGCTAAAGGCCACAAAGAAAAGGAAAATAAAGCTAGTTATTTCCTCCAATGTGGAAGACTTGGTGTACTTTTTTTTAAACAGTAAGTGCAGTTCAGTTAAAGCACTGTGCTAAAATAATTAAACACCTGCTGTTTATTAAAGATAACTGGGTTTGCTTTGTAAAATCAAAATATTCTCAAAAATCAAGGTGGTCACTATGTACATGGAAACTGATTTAAATTACCTTGAAAGCTGCCATTAGGGTAGATCTTGTCAAACTCGAGAGCACTTGAGAAAATCACCAAAACCACCTCAGAAAAAGGGCCGGCATTTGTTCCTCCCTCTGCCGTTATTCTGCCCCTGAGCTTCGGTGGTCGGAAAGACCACCCACCCCATCAAATCGCACCTAAAGATCAATTCAACAGAATAATTTCACACATTAAAGAAAGCTGCAGCCTACAAAAGGTTCCTGCCCCTCTACTCAGCCCTGGTGAGGCCGCATCTGGAGTATTGTGTCCAGTTCTGGGCTCCACAGTATAAGAGGGATGTGGAGAGAGTCCAGCGCAGGGCTACAAGGATGATCAGGGGCCTGGGACATCTGCCCTATGAGGAGAGGCTGAGGGAGCTGGGCCTGTTCAGCCTGGAGAAGAGAAGGCTGAGAGGGGATCTAATCAGTGTATATAAATACCTCAAGGGAGGGAGTGCAGAGGACGGTGATGGTCTCTTTTCACTGGTGGCAGTGGTTTCTTAACAGTGAGGGTGACAGAGCACTGGAACAGGCTGCCCAGAGAGGTTGTGGAGTCTCCTTCTCTGGAGATCTTCAAAACCCGCTTGGATGCAGTCCTGTGCCACGTGCTTTAGGTGTCCCTGCGTATGCAGGGGGGTTGGACTAGATGACCCCTAGAGGTCCCTTCCAACCCTAAGCATTCTATGATTCTATGATTCTATGGTTGCTCCCTCGAGAAATAAAGTAATTGTTAAATTTCACAGCACCCTCTACTGGTTCTTGGAAGAAAAAACATCTAGTGAGACCAATGCTAAAGGCCACAAAAAAAGGAAAATAAAGCTAGTTATTTCCTCCAATTTGGAAGACGTGGTGTACTTTCTTTTAAACAGCAAGTACAGTTCAGTTAAAGCACTGTGCTCAAATAATTAAATGCCTACTGTTTATTAAAGATAGCTGGGTTTGCTTTGTAAAATCAAAATATTCTCAAAAATCAAGGTGATCACTATGTACATGGAAACTGATTTAAATTACCTTGAAAGCTGCCATTAGGGTAGATCTTGTCGAACTCTAGAGCACTTGAGAAAATCACCAAAACCACCTCAGAAAAAGGGCCAGCATTTGTTCCTCCTTCTGCCGTTATTCTGCCCCTGAGCTTCGTGCATTTCGGTCTGGGGCAGATGAAACCCTTCTCTGGAGATCTTCAAAACCCGCTTGGATGCAGTCCTGTGCCACGTGCTTTAGGTGTCCCTGCGTATGCAGGGGGGTTGGACTAGATGACCCCTAGAGGTCCCTTCCAACCCTAAGCATTCTATGATTCTATGATTCTATGGTTGCTCCCTCGAGAAATAAAGTAATTGCCAAATTTCACAGCACCCTCTACTGTTCTTGGAAGAAAAAACATCTAGT